CTACTGCCCTGGTGGCAGAGTGCAGTCGGGGCGGGGGTGGCCACCCGTGAATCTCTCGGTATATTGGAGAGTCTTCCGAGAGGATCACCTGCCCGATCGTCGCAAGATGATTGTAAGCAGGCACTGTGGAGGCACCTCTGTATACATCAACACCCTCGCTTCACGGTCTCTATATTGCATCCCCCTTGGCACTGAACGAGTCAACGGCATCGCCTGATGCTGACGTGCTCCGCTTCAATTCTCAACATCACGCCCGCGGTCATCCATCCAGAGCTGGCAGAAATCGCTACGGAATGAATGCATATAGGCGCTAATTTTGTCCTGTACCCATGTATATGTACCCTCCGAATAGTTCGCATTATCATCGTGTATATTTTCTGTCACGGATGATTTCCACGACATGGTAGCACAACCGATCTGGCGGACTGCAGAATACCAGCCTTTGTGATTTTATGCCACGTCCTGTACCGGTTTTCAATATACATCACGATGATACGCTTATGAACTTGGGAAAAGCGGCGCCGATTGTTAACGCCACGTTGAGTGTCGATAGTAGGCCTTCTCTAGGTCTACAGCGGGGCAGGGAAAGCTCTCGTCTCCTTGAGCACTAGCTGCCTCGCGTCCTGTCTCCCTGAGCGATCTCATTAATTCGAAGATATCCACCAGCGCGAGGTGCGTTCTGACGCTGGACGTACAGATTAAAGTTTCGGCCGACACCAACGCTAGACCACACGCAATAGAAGAAGGCTGCAGAATATGTATATGTCATCGGATACAGATGAAGAACAGCAATCATATGACGGTGACTGGAAGACGTCTCCGCTTCTGGAATACAGTACAGGTATGTATAGCTCGGACTCGGAAGCTGACCGAGTTCGGGAAGTTCGCGTCGGTGGCTTGGAGGCTGTAGCGTTATACCTCGAGATTCAGTCGGTGCGACTGAGCTGGACAGGGGCTGCACTTGACATCGACACATGACGCAGAGAAGGAGCTTATCCGAGCACAAATGCCCGGTTGAAAGACGATCGCGACATATATGAGTTCTGACGAGACAATGTGTGGATGACAAAGGTGGCGGCGGGACCTGAAGCATTTTAGGACACCGAGAGCAAACGCCTTGCTAAACAATAGTCAGTGGTCAGGTTGGGCGGAATAGCCCTATATTTGCGTGGGCCGTGAAGAGCTTACACGAGCGAGCCTTGGGAACAAGAGCCATTCGTCGCCCACCAAAGCAGACACGAGGGCTCTGGTGACAGAGAAGAATCTAACGACAGGAGGAGTGTGAGCGCAGTTGTCTTGATTACAACCGGAAGATAGCTAATTTTCATAAAGCTGTAGAACGACGGGGAGTCCAGTCTCCACGGATTGTGGCTATCCGGTCGCTCCAGGCAGCAGACAGTAGCACGAGTGGTCGTTCAAGCCGCAGGCAAGCAGCAGAATGAAGCATAGACCGGTACACGAGTGCCAGAGAGAGCATAACCTAGACGTCTATGAAAGCCCCTATTTGTACGAGCCCACGTTGCGTGAAAGATCTAGGTTCGGCGGCTTGCGCAAAGGCTATCAAGATGGAAGGAGAGCGCCCGAGTAAAAGGGAAATGAAAAGATGGCGAGCACGGATATCCGAGTAGGGCGTCATAAGACAACCTCCATTAATAACAACGGTGGTAAGACGGTACCCCGCAGCGTCCTGATAGTGACCGTCCTGAGCCGCGAGGCAGCGGTTGTGGGAATAAAGCCTTCATTTCCGAGTAGGAAGGGTAAAAGGGCAAGGGGTATCAGCGAAGTACCCAGCGGATACCTTCGAAAATCTGTTCGATTAGATGAAAGCTACCAGGTTTGGTCTGAAAAGATAGCGACGGATGTCATAGGCTACTGCGTTGCGAGAGTCTGGATAGATTGCCTCTCATCTCCGCAGGTCTCGTATCAGCCGCAGGCGCGCACGTTGTACACACAGATGAAAGCTAGCCCGATGTGAGGCCCCGGCAGACCCTGGCGGCACTGAGTTAGCGTCCAGCGAAGAGTATAGGAATACCGTAGTCGGAGACACTCCTGAGTGCAAGGTCCGCACAGAGTCCGAGTAGCCCCGAAAAGGAAAGTCTGTAATGAACCGGATTGCCGTACGACTCGCCTTGCTCCCAGCGACCGCGCAGTGATGTTCTCAGAAACGATTATCTGGGGGTGTAAGTCAACATATCTGGACCGCGCACCGTCGCTTCTTTCACAGCAGCCGCCCTGACAAAGTTTGCCTAGATTCGCTATGACGTGCCCAACCTTGCATGCTGCCAGTGATGGCCCCTCTTAAAACTCTCGCTCCAACGATTACCTACCGTGCGTCCCGCCCCTCCCTTACCTATACTTATTATCTATTCGCTTACCCACTCTGTCTCCTCTCCATGTCTGATTATTATCCTGTCTCCGACTCTGGCCATGTCTATCGTTCAAATAGGGAACGCATTGCGAATTGGATAGAAGCGTACGGGGACGTCCAGTTGAAGTCGCCCTCGGATCCGCCTTCGCCCGTGGATGAGTGGCTTGGCCCAGACGGCACCGAGGACGACTATGAATACGACGACCCCTCCATCCCGCCCAGGATACTTCTGAGGTACAGGGATGGAAGGCCCGACGTGGTCGTGGATCCTTTAGAGGGTGCGTTGTTTGGGGATCTACTCACCAGGAAATCTCTCATGTACATCTCCTTGCTAGACCCAGAAAGCCCATATTACCACCGCTCGTACTCGAGGTCGACTTCGTCGTCCGACCATGGCCACCACGGTCCACGTCCAGTCCGCGTCTCGGCGCCGAACCGCAACATATACGCGTCTCCCATGCCCGCACAGCCGGAGCAAATCCAAATCCTACCTGCACGCTCGAATTCAAGTTCCTCCGTCCCGCACCACTTTCCCGCACCACCTTCTCAAGCTCCGTCCCTGGCGCACTCTCACTCGCAACCGGTGCCATTCCATCATTCCTCCCGCCATCCTGCCCACCCGGCGCATCGTCACCCTCATCGTGAGTCACGCACCTGGGCACCTAACCCTTGCTAATGTCTACTTCAAGATGTTCCACACGGGCATCCGTCGCAATACGCCGCTCCACAACCACACTACCCACCGGCTCACCCCGCGCCAGGGATGGGCCACTCGCACTCCGCACCACTGCCCCTGCCGCCGCCGCACCGCACGGACTCGCGCACGGCGTACACAATCCCGTACTGGGGTCCGTCGCAGGCACCGGCCGAGCGCGGGCGATCCCGCACGCACCATGCCATCCGCGAAGAAGACGAAGGTCAATACGGGGACGGAAGAAGCAGGAGCGTGCCGCGCTCGTCGAGCCACCAGCGATCGCGAAGCCGCCCCGGGCATCACTCGGACGCGGAGAGCTGGTACCACGGCCAGGAGAGGAACCGGACGGTCAGCTTTGGCTCGGCGCAGACTTACTATCCGAACGGGGCGAGCACTGTGGTGAGTCTTGCTTTCTTGGTTCCAACCTATTTCCGCTCGGCTGGTGCGCGGGTCGCCGACTTGGTCGAGAGCGCGGAGATGGAGACACGATCGTGGCTGGGCTGGCACAGGAGATATGAAGAGCGATCTGCGGTCTGCTGTATAGCGGTACCGTGGGTTCTACTCTTCATATCTCCTGTTCCCTATATTGTGGGATCGTGAAGCAGAGTAGTCCAGCCCTTCATCTCGACGTCGGGACGCAGCTTCGGGATCGTTATACCTCTCTGATCGCGAATACCAACTGACCTTCGTCGTCTATCCCAGCATCTCCCACCGTCGCCACGTTCGGGGCACACCTCGCTCTCTCCGACTTCGACGAAGCACTCGCACCATTCGTACGGCTCGCACCATTCACAGCAGCACCACCACCACCACCATGCGTATCCGGAAAAGAAGGGGTTCTTCCACCGCATATTCGATGTCTTCGACCATCACGATCGGGAATATGAGGGGATGAACCCGGAGGAGTACCATCGGAGACTGGTTAAACGACACCCTCCGACCGTGCACGATTAAGGGGCGGTGTGCTGAAGCATTAAAAAACCATGATCAGTGCCATCGTTCATTCGGGTTCAGGTTTGAATGGAACTGAACATTCAGTTCCAAATATACCAGGGTTTTTACTTGTCGACGATTTGGATGCCTTCCTTGTACCTTGCCTGTAGTTACGATACTGCGTTGTTAACCCCGTGTTACAAAATCGAGAAATGGCTCACTGGTATGCGCGCTCGGACTTGCCGGCATTCTTTCTGTGGCTCGGAAGCTATCAGCTCAGAGGCTAGGGAAACTGGTGGCAAGGAGAACCACAGTGTCGACGAGAGCGGTCGAGCTCGCTCTGAAACTGGTGGCGGACGAGAGAATTGGTCTCGGAACGGTCTCTCGCACGTACGGCGGACCTGACAGTTTCTCACAGACCCGGTCAACTTGGTCGGGCGACCCTTTAACATTGTCACAATGCTGAGTGATATTCAGAGGCCATGGTAAGCCTTGAGAGCTTGAATATATATGAACTAGTCTTTTTCTGCCGTTGCAAGTTCTCAGGATCCACCGTAAACGCTCGTCTTTTGTGCAATTCACCCAGGTCACGGGCAACGGCGGTGCCAGTGAGGACGAAGTAAAATCAGTTGGCAGTAATCCTTATGGATATCAAGATCCCTTCTGAGTTCTGACGGAACTTTGAAGCGCTCTGCCTCCGGGCTCTTTCACTGCCTCCATCCGCTTTCACATAGCACATACTATAGCCAGCTCAGCGATGCCTCGTGGTTAGGAATGCATTGAAGTACACTGCTTTCTGGTTACTAGCGCTCCTCACGCCTCTTATCGATCTGCACTTTGCCGCGTCTGATACGAAGGAAGGCATACTCACGTATTTGTGGATTTATGCTATGAACCTACGACGGCGTTTTCATCTTATTTCTTTGGAGCAGGGGAATAAATGTGGCTGTGCTAGCACAGGAAATACCTGGAAGCTGTGAGTAATACGCTTCTGAGCCTTTCGAAGATCGAATCAAACAAAGTTCCCGCTCAGCGCTCAGAGGGTATACAAGAGGCCCTCACGCTCAGCAGGTTCAACAGACGAGACCCCCGCGAGAAGATAAATTAGGCCAAGATATCCCGACCTTGATCTCATTGTAACGTGTCCGGCGACGGCCCTATGATCTCCAAAAAGCGCACGAAGAAGAAGGGTGATGAAGACCCGCTTGGGCGGGGTCGGGTCATGCGAAGACGCTTGTGACAATCCTCAGCAAAATCGCCGGTGGGATCCCTAACGTTCCCGACCTGAAGACAAGCTTAAGGTGTGGCGTGGCTAACGAGGTGATCCATATAGTACAGGTAGTCGACTCTCCCTTTATGATGTTTCATCGCTAACTCTGTTCTTCGCAGAAAGCGAAGACGAGTGCGGAAGATGCGCGAGATATTATAGAAAACGTAAACCAAAGTATCGCGCTCTTGATTGAAGAAACCAAGGCGGGACTGGAGCTCAGCTGTCTGAAGAGTGGATCGAGGCGTACATCCAACCAGACAAACACTCACCTCCTAGTCGATACTAGGCGCATGCCTCCGTAATGAAACTCCTCGTCGTAACCTCCCTCGCCATCATCGCGTTTGTGCGGACAATCGGCATCAGCGCCCCTGCAATCGGTACCGTCATCGCACCAGGCAGCAGCCTTAGTGTCTAAGTCGACCGATCAGTATGTCGCGCTATCCCCGGTCGCTTTCACTAAATATAAATCCAATTCACAAACCCTCCACAGCACTACCTAACAGGCCGGGGGTAGCCATCGTCATGGGGCTTCGCCCGTGCTACGACCATCACTGTCGCGATCCCTCCGAAGCGATGGGCACCAGCTTATACAGGGGCAACTTCACCGGCGGGCAGGATAGCACCGCGCTCGGGACGGAGTCGGAGCCTCCGCAACAGAGTTTCACGGTCACCCTCCGTCCGACATTCACACCGGCACTGCTATCTTCAGTGTAGCTCACCTCTCGTTTGTTGGGGTAGGTGCTTTCCTGTACAGTGCGGTTAGAGATGGGATACAGTGTTGATGGCCTACGGGTTGACTGCAGGCGGACACATGGCCGATGTTTGAGATTCACAGTATGTCTGTCACGTTCAGCGACTGCCATAAGACGCGACGATTCTCCAGTTCCGCGAACTCTATGAAGATAGAGCCTCTCACCGGACTTGCAGCGTCATAATACGTCGTACAAAGCTAGCTACGAAGCACACTGTGTCTTGCGTATTAATATACTTTCGTACTGCTAGCCCTAAGGGAACAAAATCGACGGAACTCCAGGCGGTGTACATACGTACGCTGAGACCTAGGTAGCACGGTACGTACCGCGCCTGTTAGGCCTCATCTATATATTGCGTCTAATATTGAGCGCTGAAGCGTTTCGATCTTAGCTTCTCTGAGTACGTGCGCAGGCTGAACTCACACGGCTGAGCGCAGAGACTAGGGACTGGGACAACTGGACTCGCGACGTCCCCGCATCACGCTCGCTTCAGCTACTATGCTATGCAGGCCTCCATGTTACTAGCAGCAGCAGTCCGCTCTGTACGTAACAGCAGCGCGAGGCCCCTGGAGGACGGATTCATACTTACGATAGGTGACTGGCGCTTGGAGTGAACTTCGCGCGTCCATCTGTTAATAGATTGAATCTGGAGGAAGCACGATCTTGATACAACTGGGATTGTGGCTGGCTTCTGGCTCTGGAATCCCGGCGTGAAGGACCGTCCGGATATTGAGTCTGACCATGTATGGTTGAATCTATTTAGTCAAGGTTCAGAGCTCTCAGCGGTTGAAGTTCGACGTCCTTCGGTACGTCACTCTCAGACATTCATTGCTCACGTAAACGCAGACTCCCCGTTCCTCCGAGCTCTACATTGTATCGGCCCCTGCAGACATTCACTCAAGGCAACTTCAGATAAGATGGGTTTGCACTCGGCTCAGATGCACTTAAGGCTCCAAGTTCCTACCGTACAAACAGCGATCAAGAGTGGGAACATCGACATTTTGTCTCCGCTCGTCATCTCACTTGCAGAGACGACCTCGACATCCTCTACGTTGTCTGTTGCAGTGGGCGTAGGGAGCACGATGGATAAGCTGATAGGATATCTGGGCGGACAGCTGACGTCCTTCGTCAGCCGCATCGCAGAGCGCCATCTGAAGAAAGGTCCGAACTCGTTGATCGGACGCATGCTTGACTCTATATGCTGGAACAGCGCGCCCTGTACGCAAGATTTCTGTCCAAACCGCAAGCTGGGAAGGAAATGGAGCGGACGGACTGCGCATAAATCACCTCCTTCCGTGGGCGAGGTAGTAGAGCTGCTGTCCTCGCCGTTCTGTAGTGAGTGCCGAGACGAGTATGCTACGCGCCTGTCGCAAAGTAAAGAGTTCAACTTGGGGTGTGACAAATTAGTGAAAGGGCTACGGTATGTTCAAGTTGGTTGTGATCAATCATCGTCCCCTACTCTGATACGATTATAGACTACCAAATACCTCTGTCCGACTTTTGACAGCATATTACATATGTGCTCTGGCCTCATTCCACCATTCTATTCGACAGATATTTGTGGAAGTTGGTGCAGCGGAAGCCCTTCATGAACTCGTCCACGAGTCAAGGGTCTCCGGTAATCAGGACGTGGTCCTACCGCTACGTCGCTCCTTGATTAGCGTTACCGAAAGTGCCATTCTCCCAGTGATCAAAGGATTTGACGCTCTAGAGGATAAGTTCCAGGAGTATTATCACCAGCACCTGTCTATAAAGGATATAACGGCTTTACTTCCGTATAGTGCCAGTTCCCTGAGATATCTGATGAGAGGACTGCTGTGAGTGTTTCTTGTTATCTGTACTTTATGATACTCAATTCGATGCTTCGAGAGAACCCCAGCTCCAGGTCGTCACGGCTACGAGGCTATCCTCCTCACTCGTGTGGCACGACCTGTCCCTGACCTCCGTTCTCCCGGCCCTGAGATCTAGCCTGGATGAGAACATTGTGCGGAGCCTCTGGCACATTCTATCGGCTACTTCTGACCCAGTCGTGTCTGGGACGGTTGGACGGTTGATCTATAATCTCTATGACTTTGCCACGAAGTCCTGCTTCAATCAGTGGGATCTATCGAGGCAGTGCTACGTTCCCTCAGCAGAGTGGGCATGGCGCACTCTCTGGATGCCCCTTTTCTACCTCAGGTCAGAGTGCACCGGATACGTCCATTAGCTGCATGACTTAGTCATTGTTAGATTATGTTTTCCCAACGTCATCCAGCGACTTTCGCCGAAATATCTGAGCGATACCTGCGACCTTTTCTTCAAGTGGCACGTGGTAGCGCTGTCCATGAGCGTACAGGCTCGGGGCAGTATCGATTCCCTTCGCCCATGTGTAGAGACCTGTCGCCCGTTCAGGCCTTCTAACATCCTCCCTGAGAAAGATGATCCGGTACTATTCCTAATGCTCCACACCACGAATCCTTTGTTTGCGTTGGCTGGAGTTCTCCATGGAGAGCGATTAATTAGTTTTGAATATGGCGGATACGACATTCCTCGGTTTGTACCCTTACCTCGCGTGGCCCAGTTATGCCTCGAGGCTGCAGCGCTTCTCATGAGGTATGCCATTATTCTGACATTTCTTCTTTAGCGGTCTGACAATACTCTTACGCCGTCTACAGCGAGCAAACGCCTGATGATATCGCAACCTCTCCATCTATGCTTCATATGGTTGCTCCGCAATATGACACGGCCGGCCGTCAGATATTGTTAGAAAAGTTGGAACAGTACGGGAAGCAGGGCAGCCTGCTCCAACGTAACAGGATAGACGCTATTCTGAAATGCCTGGACCATGAGGACCCTGAAAGCGTCTTGCATTGCATTGGGATAGTCGCCGGTGCGCCAACGTCGGGTCTCTCTAGAATCTTCGGGGTAGGCTGCTTGTCAGGCGTATGTAGAACACATTTGATGGTGCTCTAGGTCTTCGCAGATCACTATCGAGGCCCATGGACAGCGGAGAGGCATTACGACAGATGTCAGCCATATATGCACCTCCTCGCTCAGGATCCCTACCATGATCTGCGCTGGGTAGCGGTTTCGGATCTATCAGGCTGTGCCGCGTACCGTCCTGTGGTCGTCCCTTCCCACAACGGAGTGCGGCACATAGCGCGACAGCGCAACCGACCGATTGAAGGTGGTCGGCTCGTCATGTTGACCGCCCAGGAAATGATCGCCAGCACCATCGAGGACCTCCACGTACTGTGCGGCAGCACACCGGATTGCCCAGTATTCTGGATGACACGGTGAGTGCCGCTTACCTTTTCATGTCAATTATGGATCCCAGCTCATTAGTCGCAGGGCAAAACTGATACATGCAGTGACTGGTACGGAGAGGCCCAATCATGTGGTGGTATCTTCAGCATTCCGGGGTTTTTGCTTATGTGAATGGTCCTGGCGGGAGTATCATGAGGATGAGGGCGCCGGGAACTCTGGCGTTTAAATCATCCATGAGTGCTGGAGAGGACGAGTCGTCATCTTTTATGGGCACAGTGTCAACAAGATATTGTTCGCAATTATATTGAATAGTACATCATGAATACGGCGCTGCAATAAATATATCCAGAGAATATCCTAGTATACGTCCGAAATCCACGTTGGCACGTTCGAGGCAAGCCCATCAACACTCCTGAGATTCGTCCTCAAACGATCAGCCTCGCAGCCTGATTACGGCCCTTCGTCTCAATGAAAAAAGGGTGGAGATGCCGTGCGCGATGGAGCGTTAGCGAGTGAGAAAGGCTTCTCCTGGGACGATGAAGGTCGTCGTAGCTCGACACAGGTTCATTCCAAGGAGGCTGCAAACATTGAATCTCGAGACTCGGCTGAATACACCCAAAACGATCGAGTTTCTGGCCAGGAGTAAACCGAGAGATACCAACTGGCGAACTCGGTAGCTACAACTACTTGCCTGAAATAACATCGATTAATGCAAGCGTAGACAGCAATGTATGACACCCTAAGCCAAACCTGATGCTGAAGTCTACGAAGCATAACGAACCAACTAGATAACCAAGACCCACGGCCGATCAAGCAGATTTGAGACCAAAGTTACTCAGCTCCTTCGTCACACCCTCCAGGCGCTTCTTCCGGGCGATGAGCTCCTCCCGCCGAGCAACGACATGCGGATCCTCAGCGAGATATGTGGCACACCGAGTGCTTGCATTGGCGGTTCCCAGGCCAAGCTGAGATATCAAGGATGACTGAAGATCCTTTGCGATCGCACGCACGAATTTATGATCGATCATGAGGGGTACATTGTCGATGACACGCTGGCAGGAAGGTTCAGTAAGGATTGAGAGAGCGACACGCAAGAACGAACCTTATATGACACCTGGAAGTAGGCACGCACTTGCGCCATGACATTGATTTCCCTCGCGAACTCGTCGGGCGGATTCAGCTTCCCCAGGTCTTCCTGTGTGATCCCGGTGTATCCGATATCCGCCAAGGCGGCCAACGCAGCGTTGACCTTCGCCTGGTCTTCCTCGCTCAGCGTCGGCTGGGATAGCACCGGTTTCGTGACAGTCGTCATGCGAGGTTCCTCGGCAGACGAAGAAGATACCGTACTATCATCGCTTCCGCTGCTGTCCTCCGAGGACGTTGGCGCATGGAGAGAAGCACGCATTCCATTTGCTTTTGCTTTTTCCTTCGTCGACGAGGTTTTTAGATGTGTCGCAGACTGCTGCGGACTGGCAGGAGCTGGCCCAGCACCGAATGCGCCCGGCTTGAAGGCGAACGGCGTAGCCGTGGAGGGAGTTGAAGTAGATCCAGCTAAGGTCGCGATAGAACTGAATGGCGAAGGAGTGCCACGGAAGCCAGAGGATGTCGACTGCTGTCCGTTCAGACTCTGGAAAGTAAAGCTCGTCGCCGACGCAGCTGGCGGCGCGCCGGCTGTTTGCTGCGATAACTTGCGCACTTTTGCCGGTCGTTCCTGTGAGACGGGCAGCTTTCCTGCGCGGGCGTCCTTGTATTTTGCGAGCCACTTATCCCGGCACGAGTCGTAATAATGCCCGTTCTGCGTAAAAGGCTCGGACTCGATCTCGAGCATCTCGCCGATCCTCTGCAAGCATAACACTTGATGCTTATGTACGAGATCGGCCACGTATCCTCTGTTGACGACCCCCGTGAGACAGAACAGGGAGCAAGAATGTCTAGGAAACGTACCGTAAGACTATGTGCAGGGCATCGTATCGGTCGAACTGGTCCTTCATCATGTCATGGAGCAGGTTAATTACGGACGCTCGGACGCGTTCGAAGCACACCATAGCCGACGGTCTCCAGGTCGTCTGGAATGCTTTAATGAGGGAGACTTTGCATGGAAACGGGACGTCATCCGGCAGTTCTCGAGTAATAGATCTGTGCCCAGCCCCCTTGGTCAGCTCAGTTCCTCGGTAAACTATGTGATCTTACTAACTTTTCGATGTGCTGTAGCATATCCGTCAGATACACGGGCGCCTGCGCACTAACAAGCCCTTCTGCCGGGCCCTCATCCTCGCCGTCACCGATATAGTTCTCAAACACCGCACTACTGATTGTTCCCTCGGGGTAGGGAATGAAATTCGGTGCCGTCCGCCGGACGGCATACTTGAATTCCCGGAACGAGTCGCGGTTCTCGTGTACAAGTCGGCCGGAGTCGAGGCCCCCAGCGACAAAGCCCTGAACGTTGGTGGAGAAGGCAGTGATGAGGCCCAAGACGTATGTCGCAGGTTCGGCTTCGATAGCTTGAGGCAACGAATCGAGCTCCTCGTTACAGTCGCGGAGGACTTCCTTAGCTTGTTTGTGGAGGTGCGGAAGCCTGGTGACCGACGTGAGTGACTTACATTCGACCTACAAGAGATGTTCTTACCGCTCGTCTATGAGTTTTGTGAGCAGCTTGCTCAAAGTTGCAACGAGGTTCCCGGTGCCGAACCGATTCTTGTTCGTAGCGCGCGACCAGGGGATAGTGTTCCCAAAGAAATCTGCCTCGACCTTCCTGGCTTCTGCGGCGGAGATATCCTTCGCTCGCTCGGCGTCGTCAGGTTGTCTGGTGCAGTAGTAGCCGTTGAGGAGGGGATGTCTTCGCCCTTCGATGACGTCCATCCAGAGATCGCGGGCTTTTGTCGCACCCGAAGTCAGCATGTCCGGCTTCGTGAGAACACCTGTGTCGCAAGTTAGACCCATTCAGGTCGCAAAAGTGGAATCCGACGAACCAATTGTTCGAAGCCCTTTAGGATCAACCTGATGAGCGAGCCGCAAGGCCTTTTGGTTTTCAATATCGTCTAGACGTACAATGATCCAGAAGTGCAGGGATTGAAAAGGTGCAGGGACGTACCAGTCATCGGAAGTGCGACAAGAATCAGGCAATTCCCTTGAATGTGAGAGACAACCAAGTCTTCGACGAGCTTCACGATCTCAGGTTCAGCATTCTGGATGATACCTAGGTGCTAGGAATCAGCAGCGAATATGATATTGTGCCACTGGGGAATACGTGCCTGGCAGGTCGATGAACGAGAGGTCCGTCAGGTCCGGGCCGACGAGGTCGACGCACACAACGTTTCTAGAGAAGTCCAGAGTCTTGCGCGTGCCTGCCGGTGCCTTGAGATGATCCGCGCTCATGAGCAGGAACTTGCTCGGCGACACGGAGGGGTTCAACACAGCAGCCTGCGCGCGACGCAAAGCGAGTTCAACATCTCCTTTGTTCGTGATAGCCCCGCCAAAAGGCACTTCTTGTACGTCGTCTCTGCGTTTCCCCTTGTCGTCGAACTCCCACCGGATAGATATCTGGCATTTCCATGGCATGTCGGACGAAGAAAGGCGGCATTCCATGGGGCAGCGGGTACATGTTCCCGCATCTCTGGGAACCTTGATCTGAGTGGCACAGTTAATTATCAGCCATATTGCATAACAATCTATGTGTAGAAAAGGAAATAATAAATGATACATACTCCTGATATCGCTTCTACAACACTGGACTTGCCTTTGAAGCAGTCCATCGTAAATAGGGGTAGAGGTGGATATCACGAGACCACATACCAGCACTCTGGTTGCCAATGACGGCAATGCACGGTAGATCAAGCTCCGCTTGAGCACTGTGGTGAAATGGCTTGAGGACGAAGAACGTTAGGAGAAGGTGGCACAAACATACCCAATTGCCCGAAGCTGCTTCACCAGCTTTAAGAGCTCCTTACGTCGAGACGCATACTCGCTACTGGATAGTTCTGATACTGTGTCTTTCCCCATGGCCGTCTCGTCGGTGAGCTCAGACGATGACAGTGGCAAGTAGGTGCTGGAACGGAAGCAAGTAATGAGGCGCTCGATCATTGCCGGAGTGGCGCGGCAAAGCCACGCGCGTCGGACATATGCTTCCGGCATGCTAGGCACGTGACCGCGTTACGCCTATGCCACTGTCACTGTGGCTCTTGAACAGGGTAAAGCTTCCAGTAGGGTGTCATCATATTCCCGGCATGAAAATATCAATACATCAACGTATAAATTAGGAAAACCATCGTAACATCGTTGCCGTCACATAATTTTCCGTAACTCGAGAGCCACATCATGCAATCGCCGTCTGCGGGCTACTACCTCCTCTCGAAGAGCGCGCGTTTCGGGATCTTCAGCCAGATAGGCTGCACATTTGAGGGTGGCATCTGCAGTTCCGAGGGCCAATCCGCTTATGAGGAACAATTGAAGCTCTTTCCCCAGAGCCTGCACAAACATGTAGTCGATTATTAGTGGGACGTTGTCGATCACCCGCTAGCGTGAATATCCAGTTAGGAATTCCGTCTTTTAGAAGTCGTAGAGCTCACCCTGTAGGATATACCAAAGTACGCTCTGACCTGAGCCATAACGTTCAATTCCCGAGTATACTGGTCTGAGGGCTGCAGCCGTCCCAGGTCTTCTTTTGTCAGGCCAGTGATCCCTATTTTTGCTAGTGCCGACAGTGCGTCGTTGTAGTCCTGCTCAGAAGCATCTGACTGCACAATCGCAGAAGGAATGGTTGCACGCGCTTTCATCTTCAAATTCGGCGCTTTCTTTATCGGACGTCTTGCTGTAAGGGCTTCTACACGCATCTCTTCAAACGACTTCTCAGGGAAATTGCAGACTCCTGGTTAAACTTGGAGGTCAGCTTGGAAGCTCGCAACACCCATGAGGCATACTCGACTCACCACTCTTTGTGAATCCCCCGATGAACGGCGATATGTCCACCCTGTGCGGCTGCACTGGAGGAGGCTGCACTAGATGAGGCACCGCGAAGATTCCGGTGTAACTGATCGTTGATCCGCCTTTCATGGTCACGGAGCCTGTTGGAGAAGCGAACCCAGGCAGGCCCGGAAACAGTGTCGACCCCGTCGAACTTGGCTTCGCTTGAGGTGCGCCCGAAGACTGGGCGGAAAACAGGCCCCCGAAGGGCGTGGCTGAGCCAGGCTTGGTTGTATCGGGCGCAGGAGATCCAGCGGGACTCAAAAGGATTGACGGCCCTGTGCCACTTGGATTGACTTTAGGCGGTGCGGGCGTGCTAAACGCGAAAGGCGATGGCAGATTCGTGTTTGATGGATTAGATGCTGGTGTTCCTGATGAAGGTGGCACTGCAAAGAACGATGAGCCTATTGGAGTCGGCTTTGTCTGCGGAGCTCCAGATGAGATAGATGCAGATGACCCTATCGAAGGCCACGAAATGTTCGGTTTCGCTGGAACAGATACTAACGTTCTAGGTGTAGACGGAGTGGCTAAGCCAGTACCACCGGGTGTAGGATGCAGTGTTCCTGAGGACCCAAATAAACCCTTGCTCGGAAGAGAGGGTGAAGGTTTCAGCGTGGCGAATATAGAGTCTGGAGCTTGAGATGCGAACGGACCAGCAGGCTGCGATATGCCTGGAAGCGTCCCTGAGGAACCTATAGTGGACCGCGCTTGAGAGATAGGTACAGCTGACGGATTCGAAGCGGCAGTCGATGAGCCAGTAGCAGGGGTTGCTGGAGTACCCGAATCTCCGAAGACACTCAACTTGGCTGCTGCTTCAACAGAAGATGCCGTCGTGAACGGCAACTCAGTGGTTGACACTTCATCCAAGGTTCGTCTTAGTGGAGGTTCAGATGACAAACTTAACGGAAAAGGACCTCCATTTGATGAAGAATCTGGCCCGGGGCGAGGCGGGTCCGGAAAGCCGGACTTGGCGGCCACAGATAGCGATTCCTGAAGTTCGGGATAGGGATCAAGCAGTGAGACTAGATGACGACCATATTAGTGGGACACACCTTCTGTTCCCTGGCCGCCTTGTATTTCGCCAGCCATTTGTCTCTGCAACTTGTGTAGTAGAAAGTATTCTGGGTAAACGGCAAAGTCTCTATCTGGAGAACTACATCCAAGTATTGCATGCACTTCTCCTCCTGGATAGCAATTAGCTGTGTAACGAGCGACCTATGGGTGCACACGTTAGTTGGGAGGGACGACTGTAGAAAAAGCCAAAGCTACATGATTCGATTCTTCAGAGCAGTATACGGCCCAAACTTCTCTTCCACTTGCATAGTGAGACAGTTCAGAGTCGACTCTTTTACGGAACTGAAGCAGGTTTTGGCTAGTCCTGACCAGGCTCCCTGATACGACTTGATCAGAGTCACTTTGCAAGGGAAAGGGACATCGTCCGGCAGCTCCCGCGTGATCGACCTGTACGAGCAAATTATGGGTGCTAAGCTCACGATATCCGTGTTAAGCTTCTCTTACCTTTCAATGTGTCTACGCATGTCCTCGAGGAAGAAAGGCCTTGTCGTATATCCAGATTCGTTGAACGACTCCTCTTCTTCACCTTCAAGATAATTTTAGAAGCCAGGCTTGTTGTCTTCGGAAGACAGGTAAGGGAGAAAGTTCGGGGTCGTCCCTTTAATACCCTGCTTGAACGTAGCAAACGCGCCTCGGGTAGCCTGTACTAACGTCGCAGCATCAACTCCACCCTCCACATACTTCTGAAAATCAGCACCGCAGGACGTAACAAGCGTAAGCACATGAGACGCGGGCTCGATCTCCACAGGCTTCGGCATATTGTATAACTGATCTTCGCATTGGCGAAGCAACCTTGTCGTCTCAGACTCAAGCACGGGTAATCTATGCACAAGCGTCAGGACATCGCACACGGTGGTATCGGATGTCGCACGTACGTATCATCGATGATCTGGGTCAGCAATTTGCTCAGAGTAGTTACAAGATTTGTGGTGCCGAATCTATGGGGCCAGCACGAAGACCAAGGTTGCGTGTTGGCGAAGAATTCGACCTCAAGAGCCCGAGCCTCAGCAGATGATATACCAGCCGCTCGCTGGGCGTCGTCGGGCTGGCGTGTACAGTAGTAGCCATGTAGCAAAGGGTGCTTGCGGCCTTCCATCACGTCTACCCAGTTCTCGCAAGCCTTCGTGGAGCCAGCACTTAGCATGTCCGGCTTGGTCAGTACACCTAGTGAAGTATATCAGCCGGAGGCAGGAAAATAGAAGAAGATACTTACCGATGGTCCTTCTACCGGCGGGATCTTGCTGGAGGGCCAGTCGAAGGGCCTTTTGGTTTTCGATGTCATCTGTGGGTAGTCAGAGTGCCGCAATTGCATCCAGTTGCGAGCAATGGAAATACCTGTCATGGGCAGCGCGACTAAGATCAAGGAATTGCCTTGAATGTGGGACATAATCAGGTCTTCAACAAGCTTAACGACGGCGGGCTCCGCATTTTGTATTATACCTTCATATCTCGTCAGATGTGCCGATAATCTATGGAGGACGCCCTACCCGGAAGATCGATGAAAAAAAGATCAGTCAACTCGGGTCCTACAAGATCCAGGCAGACCACGTTGCGAGAGAATTGCAAAGGCGTGCTGTTCCCAAGCGAGGTGCCCGACCTCAGTTCTTCTGTAGATTTTGTCAGTATTGTGCCAAGAGGTACGTTCGGATTGAGGACAGCCGCCTGGGCACGGCGAAGGGCTGTCTCAACTTGCTCCTTATCCTTGATAGGAGGCCCTAGTGGTATTTCGCGCACATCGTGTCTACGTATCCCAGCCTCGTCGAATTCCCACCGTATGGAGACCTGACACGACCAAGGACCATCCGATGAAGAGAGACGGCATTCCATCGGACACCGCGTGCAAGTGCCTGCATCCCGAGGGACATTAATCTGCGCTGAAGAGTTAGTATTCCCGGGTACGCCGCACAGGTGGCACAGCAAAGAGAGACGCACACCGGATATCGCTTCGACGACGCTAGATTTCCCTGAACGGAGTCGACCAATTAAATGTCAAAAATGGTATTGAACGGCTGTAATTACCGGCACTTTGATTCCCAATGACAGCAATGCGAGGGAGATCTAAATCGGCCTGAGCCCTGATGAAGTAATTTTCAGTCTCAGGGTCAACGCGACATGCACGCTAGCTACATCACTGACCCCACAGCCCGCAATTGCTTCACCAAAGAGAGAAGCTCCTTGCGACGCAGAGCATAGGCGCTTGAACTTGAAGATAGTTCGAGCGAATTGGGAAGAGAATAGGAGTTCACACGAGCGGTCATCCCAGACTGCTAAGGAAGAAAGGTGAGCGGAAATCTCAAGTGCCACCGGTAGACTCACCGTCAATCAGTACCTTTGTCCTCGGCGCCTCGCCGTATCAGTGCGTATGCGTGGCTACGCCACAAAGGAATGTGACCCACGGTGCACGTGTTCGTGACAGGATGAACCGTCCTTAGTCGCGTCGGGACTGTAGCAGTGCTCGCAATTGAATTGATCACCCCGTCGTGCTTCCGATGATTGCTCAAGTTCGTTTCGTCAATCAGTCTCTAACGTTTTTTATTGGCTTAAAATATACTGGACTAATACGATACCTGACACCTGACTCTGTTGCGAAAGATTTTGTGCCCGTTCAACCTCGAAATCTGAAATGGCTTATCGTCGTGCGTCGGGGTCGATCTGGTCTATGCTTGGTATAGATTTGAGCCATGCTCATTGCTCACCCTGAAGCCTATGTTTCATGCTCTCCTTAATTGCAAAACATCCATTCCGCCAATATCTTTGTCTGAGTGTCTTGTCGCAAGCTCTTTTCTGAACGCCTGCTGTCGGCGAATACTTCGCATGGATATCGGACATCGGTGAACTTACCGGGGTTAGATCCGGATGTCGTATATTCCCCAGTCCTCAAAATAGCGGCTTCTTAGAAGTATGCAAACAGGAATATACTGCACCACTTGAGCCATCTTGGAAGAGCACCCAACAAGCGGAAATTGAATAGCACGCTCCTCTATAAGCACTTTTCGCAGGAGTGAACAATCGTTTATCCAAATACTCCGCCCACCGAGAATCCTCCGGAGTCGAACCACCGACATGCGCAAGCTTTTTTTTTGCGTCCTCGAAATACAGCTAATATTCCTGTATCCCATTGTATACCGCCCCATATTCGATTGTACACCATCGCGATATTCCGCGGCAACTTTTACCTGCCGCTCATCATCCGCGTTTTGCTGCGTTCCTGCAAGGAGCAAGTGCCGCCCGAATGGGTTGCCTGGAGGTTCCGTCCACGCAATGAGTAGGAGCCCTTGCCGCTGTTCGTGGCACTATAATGATTGTATAAGAGGGGAGCTATGCATGTCGAAAAAGCTCTGTAATGACTATAATACAGTGATGCTATCTGGTATACCCGCTGAGACGAATTGAAAGCCCTACGTCCGTAAACCGTACCTATGGTCATGCTGACCGCGACCGACCAAGCTCGGGGATGTTAGACGATCCCTCAAAAGATGATGTCCGAGAATGATTTTGCCCACAGACCTTGGGATATGACGCGTTCTCGACGAGGGTGGAATCCGTGACCTCTCGCGTATGCGAGTACCCAGCCTCCAAGTCCGCATTCCCGCTCACGACTCCCTCAGCCTCGTCCTTGCACTCTTCAGCCTCGATTCCCTTCTTTTGCGCCTCCTTGACCTCCTTCCGTAGCTTCATCGAAATCTGGATACATATCCGCCCTCCATGGACTTGGGCCGCCAGGAAACACACGTGCAGGATAGGGCCGACGGCCTTGTAGAGGATGGGGAGGTGTTTCCAGATACGATTGTAGAAGTAGATGATGGCGACTTGTTCCGACAGCGTACCGGTGAAGATACCCAGACCGACGATGAGGAACAGTCGACACAGGAAACGGGGTTTGTGGCGGTAAATTCGGTAGAGCATGACGGCCAGATGGGGGAACATCTCGAACATCATTTCGAACGTGCCTGATACGGGAGCAGCTTCAGCCGAGCCAGCATTGGGATAGGGAAAGGACAAGACGTACCGTAGATTAGGATCAGCTTAAACTCAATCAACGGCAAGTACCCCTCCTGCCCATGATCGACAATAATGACAATACCGAGGATATTAATGAGTATGGCCGCGATGTGGTGGATAGCCGACACGACGGAGATGTTGGTACGGTAGATGATTTCGAATAAATATATTGTAGGAACGGTAAGGTAGCAGTACGCTGTATTACGAGTTAATGAGCTATCCCGAGGCTGAGTAAGTGACATCTCACCGAGAATGTCCCCGTTCGTGACTTTGTGCTTGACATGATCTGAGTGTATCGGCTCGTCCAAAGGCGTTTGGACAAAAAACGTCTCGAGAATGGAGTACGCGCCGATACAGCAAGTGACCTTTAGGCCAAACGACACAGCGTGATTCGTAAGAGACCGTCGAGCACCGACATCCATCTCCGTGTACGTCTTCCCAAACACCCGTGGCATGAAGTGGGGCTCGAGGAACAGGCGAGTGACGAGGAACACGATGCATAGTTCCAGGGCCACGACGGGCAGGGAGTAGTCGAGGAGGAAGGATATCGACATGGCGAGGAGGGTCTAGGACATACCCAGGCAAAGCAGCGATGAATGCTAACCCAGTCGTACCATGAAAATATATAGACGCGGGGTGACCTGCGTTCCGCCAGAGCATGGGAAGCCAGATGGGATAAGCTGATGAGAAGGAGACCATCTGTCGATGCTTCCTGTACCGTAACACCATCGATCCTGAGACTTTACCCAAGTGTATCCGGGTGCAAACTACGGGCGGTAAGGTTGGCACGCGTTAGAGCAAAAATACGACAATACCGTAGCCATGGAAGAGGAACGGTTTCGCCGACAGCATCATCTTACACAGCGCGCGTATGGGCGGGGTTTCACCGCCTGCTAAATCAGTGTCCGGGAGAGTGTCTGTGCGCGCATGGGGACATCGGAGACGGACGCCACGCACAGTGGAATTTCCAGTATGTTGAGTTATCTCGAGCTGCGAATGGCGGCGGTCGTGAGATGACTGAACATTGCACAGCTTTCGAGGAAGTGGTGGAGGTTAGCCGGTCAGAGACCTTCGAGGAAGCCTGGGTTGATCTCACGAACATAGGGATATTTTCGGTAGCAGCACATACATATAGTTCGGACTCCGTCTTCCAATAGAAAATCGTCGGAGGCCTCGAGAGGTCCATCGATCGACGAAACCATCTTGGAACCACCACTCATCCGAAATTAGGAACGCACCGACAAAGTACGGAAGCTATATCCACAAATAGCTCGGTGTGAAAATAGCGCATCGTAGCACTGGCAGTAATGGCGTGAATGGAGATGGTATCGTGGAACCTGCCTGATGTAAGTACGACAGGACGACCCGGGTAGCGCGGGTATATGAGTCCATATTCACTCTGACTATATAATTCGAAAAAGGCTCACCTCCACCGCGTGTAAAAGGGCATGCTCTACGGGTGGAAAGCGTTATGCTCCCTTAGGCTTGTGTAAATTTGCAGGCCACGATTTCTGGAATGCTAAGCGTTATGCTTCTAACGTCAAAGCATGGCGCTCACGAGTCAAGGCGTCCAGCGGGGTGAGATCATTGGCGGCTATCCGCCGGAACGGGCCCTCTGAACTTGTGCTCATACCAGCGCATCAGTGAGAGATGCCCAACTAAGTTGATCCTATGAACCTTGACAACCGTACGAGCAGAGTCCGAATCGTCCATCACGCACACTGCCAGGCAAATACTCGTAGAAACGATGAAGACCACCCTCCGGAAACAATTCGCACCAGGACTTGGCAGATCGGAATGACTCTCATAGTCGACAGCATGTCGAAGGTGTGGGACTCGAGGCCTGCATGAGGCGCTCGAGGCTGTGGCGTACAAGCTTTCCCAGGCTTCTCTTGCCCACTTGTGTCTATGCCTGGCGGTCGACATCGACATCGACAGAGAACGTGCAGCTACGCAAAGCATCACAGACGCAGAGGAATATATTTCAGGAGAAATCAAGTCATAGACACCGAAAACGAACGACACGATAAGTCGCAATTAATCCAAGACTCGCTAACGTAGCGAAGGACCCGAGCACCGATCGACAGTCATGCACTCCTTCAATATGTTCCTCGTCTCCTCTCCAGTACGTCCCGCTCGTACCCACCACGCTCGGCTATAGCTGTGAGCTGACGCCGTAGGACTGGTCTGACGGGCTTCGGCGCCATCAAGGGTACGATCACCGGGTCGCCTCCATTCGAGTGACCCGAGTTCGGAGACATAGGCATGCCTCCTGTGCCTGCCTGGTACGTCTTCTCTCTCTGGCAGGTCGGACCGGGAGATAACAAATCTCGTCTATTGGCTCGGGAGTATGGGATAGGCCGTGGGCCACTGGGCTGTTTGCTCGGCCTCACGAAACGCTTGGGGTGAGTAGGTTCTCTTATAGTGGCTGGCAGGGTGAAGACACCCAGTTCGTCGCACTCTTTATGTGGAGCGTCGTCTCTCGTCTCGTGAGCAACGTGCCGCTTCCAACTACGAATCGACTCCGACGCAGCGTACCCGCGCGTGCCTCGAGAAGACGAGTCTGAGAACGTTACGAGAGGCAAGTCCTCCTTCTCGTCGTCCGCGTAGCAGGAAAGGGTAGGACTTGGTGTGCGCGTAGAGGTCGCGACTCTTTGTGGCACGAGGGACGGGCGCGGCGGAGTGGAGGAGACGCTAACGCGCTTGGCTGGCTTTTGTGGCTCCGTGACGCGTCGCACGGGCGCGGACGAGATGCAGGGGCGTTTCGGCTGTGCCGGTAAAGATAAAGGAGGGAGCTGTACAAAGAGAGTGTGTTGGGAGGTTCTAGTGGTAAGGAGGGAGTCCAGCTCCTCGCAGACGGGCGAGCAGTATTTCGAGAACGCGCTTGCCACAATGTCCAGTTTAATGCCACAATGGCAGCTCGCGCCTGGTGTGTCCGGAATTATCACGGTGGGCGAGGGAGAGGCGCCAGACATCGCTGATTGTGTATGCAGAAGTAGAATGGGCCTTGTGACGGAGCAGCGCAACTCGTAGCAACTTTGGGTCTGGATGCGGATGTGGCGGAGACAAAGAAGAACTTCCCCGCCTTTGTACGTCGGACCCTTTCAATGTTCGTTGATCCGGGCCACAGAAGCTTATCAACAAACGAAGCCTGGACGCGAAGAAACAGTACAAGCGTTGTCTGCCACAAAGAAGACATCAAGAATTCGAACCAATCAGCGGTGGCACATTAGCCAGGAACAAAGATGTGACCGAAAGTGGCTGCTTCTTTGTAGCATTGCCTAATGAGAATAGATTCTGTCGTTTTCTGTGATAATCAGTACTAATATATGACTTGTCGTTCACTTTAGCGTTCGAGAAGCTTTTAGTTATTGACCTTTGCTTCGTCTATCCGGAGTGATGCCTGGAATTCCCGCTGCCTAGCACAGTACGCTGTAGTCACATGAGTCGGCTCTAGCCAAGCCTTGCCAAAGCCATCGCAAAAGTAAATTGACGTCCTGAGTATATCATTGCACCGAGGCATGGCACGCAGTGTGCGCGCAGCAAACGAGAGGAGTCCAGCTACTAGTAGCGCAGATGGCCCCGCGTCATCGCAATGGACTCCTGACGCAGATCAGGAGAACAGGACACCAATAGAGCGTAGCGCTATATGAACAAGATCACGGAGAGCAGAGAGCCAGTACAAGCCTAGCTGGAGAACAGTCGCTCGGTGGAGTGAGAGAACCTGTGTGATGAAGCGACGTAGACATAGAGACTCTGCATAAATGTGTGGTCTCGAGACATGTGAAGCTTCTCGGGCCTTTGAGCATGCTCCATTTCGCGGCTACCCTCCGTCCTCAACGGGGGCAAAAGCAAAAAGGAGTATCACCCAAAGCCGGCGCTGATGTCCACGTCTTCACGTCGTAGCAAACAGCCGCAGATCATAGGAATTGAATGTTGAACAGTTGAACCGCCTCGTTCCCGACGTACACTTCGGGAGTTGCAGTATTTAGGGCCGGGGAGAAGATTGTACGAAAGGTAATTTCCAGCCAATTAGAGCCCGCGGAATTCCCTTTCGTAAAAACTGTTGCCCGCCCCTAAAGACTGCAACCACCGCAGTGGTATACACCAATAGTCCTGATTTATGTTGACTGCTCGCAGTACTCGGGCTACGATGCTTTAAGTAACGTGCGCTGACGGTATTCCGGGTGGCTGAGCCATACGACCCAGTTTGAATGAAGTTCGTCGAGCGATTGTCCACAGCGAGACCGTCTATCGAAGAGACAATAAAACAGGCTGTGATGGACGCACGAGTCGACGAGCTCGGACAGTACGCGGAGAACGTGGGAATAACATATGATCGAGGACGCCGCGTGACACGTTTGCCGCCGGCTGCAGAATTTTGGCGTGAAGTCCGAGATGCTCAAGCTTCAGCGGCACTCTCTAGTGCTCCTGGACACCTAACCCTTCTCTGCTCATCGCCCTTAAGAAGCTTTTGGCCGTGTACTTGAGCCTCGTTTCTGCTTTTCTGAATTTGCTTAGGCCGCGAGAATCGGAGCAGGATGCGAAAACAACTGGACCCAAGGATCCCCATCCTAATTAACAATAATGTCAAGAAAAACCACAGATCGTTCATCGTCCTTGTTGGTGACAAGGGAAGGGACCAGGTGCGTGGAATGAGGAGGTTTATATAGGAGTTCACTTAGCCAGCAATCGTACGGATCCGTGTAGGTTGTGAATCTGCACTTCCTGTTATCCCAAGCCCGGGTATCCGCCCGTCCGTCCGTACTGTGGTGTTATAAGAAAGACCTCGGGTTTACCAGGTAAGTACGTCGCTTTAATATAGCTTAGCTCACCTCATCGGCGCTGTTTGTTTCATACTTATGTCCCGATCATACCCCTTCTACTTTTCGGTCGAGAGCTCCACTGCCCATGCTTGCCCAATATCCATCTCCACCCATCCTACGTTCTGACTGACAACCCTTGACAGTCATCGCAAAAAGCGGGAAGCCAAAATCAAGCGAGATGTTAAACGCGGAGTCCGCGAGCCAAACGAGCAGAACCCGTTCGAGATCTTCATCACGGTTACCGACATCCGATATACGTGCGTCCTCTGTCATGTCACTACGTCTGGTTATTCTCATCTCTTCCCACTCGTCCCGGCGCAGGTACTACAAAGAATCCCACAAAATCCTCGGAAACACGTATGGCATGTGCGTCCTCCAAGACTTCGAGGCTATCACGCCCAACTTGCTTGCGCGGACGATAGAGACGGTGGAGGGCGGCGGGTTGGTAGTGTTGTTGCTTAAGACTATGACGTCTCTGAGGCAATTGTATACTATGGCCATGGTACGTCCTCGGTCTACGACATCCTCTCCCTCCGCTGGGCTCTAGCCACCGGGGCAGTCGAGTCCAGCGCCAGAGAATTTTCTGGTGTTTGGCTGACATACCGGTGGCTAGGGAACTCAGCGGACCAGTAGTTTCGTCCGTCCATCCCGTCGCTCATTCGCCAGTATAGGACGTCCACGCGCGGTACCGCACCTCCTCGCACGACACCGTCATCGCGCGCTTCAACGAGCGCTTCATCCTCTCCCTCGGCTCCTGCGACGACTGCCTCGTGCTTGACGACGAGCTCAACGTCCTCCCCATCTCGCGCGGCAAGGACATCCAGCCGCTCGAGGACGACCGCGGGAAGGGCGCCGCGGACAAGGAGAGCGCGGAGCTGAAGGAGCTGAAGAAGGAGATGGCGGACGTGAAGCCCGCGGGCGAGCTCGTGAAGCTCGCGAAGACGATCGACCAGGCGAAGGCGGTGCTCACGTTCGTCGATGCCATTGCGGAGAAGACTCTGAGTTCCACGGTGACGCTCACGGCGTCTCGCGGACGTGGAAAGTCTGCGGCGCTGGGTCTGGCGATTGCAGGCGCGTTGGCTCATGGGTATAGTAATATCTTCGTGACTAGTCCCAGCCCGGAGAACTTGAAGACCGTGTTCGACTTTGTGTTCAAGGGTATGGACGAGCTTGGGTTCGAGGAGCACCTGGACTATGATATTGTCCAGAGTACGAATCCCGACTTCAACAAGGCGATCGTGAGGGTGAACGTGTTCAAGGGGCATCGGCAAACGATTCAGGTGAGTCAGAAGTGTTTCGCTCGCCTTTGGATCATCATGGACTGTGTATCGTGCATAGTACATCCAACCACAAGATGCGCACGTCCTCGGCCAGGCGGAGCTAGTCGTCATCGACGAAGCAGCTGCCATCCCGCTTCCCCTCGTCCGGAACCTCATCGGCCCGTACCTCGTGTTCATGTCATCTACCATCAATGGCTACGAAGGCACCGGACGCTCCCTCTCCCTCAAGCTTATTCAGCAGCTCCGCGAGTCTACGCGACCGTCGCTTACGAAGGACGCGCAGCTGAACGAGGACGAGACTGGGGTGGCTGCGTCGAGCTCGAAAAAGGCCGCCGTCAAGGCTCCCCCGAAGGCGCGTAAGCTCGTGGAGATCAAGCTCGAGACACCCATCCGGTACGCACCGGGGGATAAGGTGGAGAAATGGCTGAACTCGCTGCTGTGCTTGGATGCGACGATCGTGCCGAAAGCCATCGCACAGGGCACACCGCACCCTAGCAAGTGCGAGCTGTTCTATGTCTCGCGGGATACGCTGTTCAGTTACCACCCGGCGTCGGAGGTGTTCTTGCAGCGCATGATGGCGCTGTACGTCGCGTCGCACTATAAGAATCAGCCGAACGATCTGCAGCTCATGTCGGACGCGCCGGCGCACCACCTGTTTGTGCTGCTGCCGCCGATCAAGGACGACGAGACGCATTTGCCGGAGCCGTTGGTGGTACTCCAAGTAGCCCTCGAAGGGAATATCAGTAGGCAGGCGATTTTGGATGGCTTGAACAGAGGGTTGAGGGCGGGCGGGGATATGATACCCTGGCTCGTCAGTCAACAGTACCAGGAGGGGCGGTTCGGTATGTTGAGCGGAGCGAGAATCGTCAGGATTGCGACGCATCCGGACTATGCGAATGTGAGTTTTGTGATTGCCCTCATTACCACACACCCAATACCTCATTCTCGCGTACATTACAGATGGGCTACGGCGCGCGTGCTCTACAGGCGCTGAACTCGTATTACAGCGGCGAGTATTTCAACCTGAGCGAGAGCGTGGAGGAGGAACCGTCCTATCCCAACCCGGCCGCCGTCGAGGAGGTATGTCCTGCAAGCACTTCGTCGCCACGGACATGCGTAATAAAATTTCACTAGGGAACATCACTACTAACCGACAAACCGTCGATCCGCTCGCCAACCCAAATGCCGCCCCTCCTCCAGCGCCTGACCGAACGTAAACCCGAAAAACTAGACTACCTGGGCGTGTCGTACGGGCTGACGCCGCAGCTCCTGCGGTTCTGGAAACGCGCGGGGTACATCCCTCTGTACATCCGGCAGACACAGAGCGAGCTGACCGGGGAGCATACGTGCGTGATGGTGAGGGGACTGAACAGCTCCGCAGACGACGAGCTAGGGTGGTTGGGCGAGTTTGCCAAGGGTAAGGGAGTTCGTCGTCAGTCTTCCTGTTGCTGGGCTGACAGGACGGGTGTAGATTTCAGAAGACGGTTCTTGACGCTGCTGTCGTACAAGTTCCGGGAGTTTGGGGCGGTGATGGCGCTGAGCGTGCTGGAAGGTGCGAATGCAGGCGTTAAATATGCCGAGGAGCAGTCTCGACGTCAGTCTCGAATGCATTGCTTCACGTTAACAAAACTCATTCTTTTCGCGATTCAGCATTGACGTCCACCGAGCTGTCCTTCCTGTTCTCGCCGTTTGACCTCAAGCGGTTGGAGTCGTACGCAAATAACATGCTGGACTACCACGTTATCCTGGATTTGCTACCGACGGTGGCTCAACTGTATTTCGAGAAGCGGCTGGGCAAAGCGCCTGGAGAAGGAGGGGATGGCGAAGAGGAGGTGCGGCTGAGCGCGGTCCAGAGCTCGATCTTGGTCGCACTGGGGTCGCAGCGGAAGACCGTTGAGGAGGTCGAGGTATGTATTTTATGGATATCATGTAATAGGAGACTACGGCTGACGTGTCCTTACAGAGTGAGCTGCAGCTCCCAGTGTCGCAGACGCTAGCACTGTTTGTCAAGCTCATCCGGAAGATCTCCAAGCGGCTCGTGCACATCCAAAAAGCGGCGATAAGCGCCGAGTTGCCGCCCCCGCCCCAATCGCGCACGAGAGACGTGGACATGGCCGACGGGGAGAGGCAGTGGAAGCCCGTGCAGCAGCGGCTGGAGGACGAGCTCCAGGAGGCCGGGAACGAGGAAGTTAGAAAGATGAAGGAGAAGCAGCGGGAGCTGATCGACAGCCTTGATCTGAGCAAGTGAGTTTATACGGAAACCTTGTTGCTCCGAGAGTTCATGGCTGATCAGGGCGTCGATTTGATCTGTTGTTTCCTTGTTCGTCTGCGGCTAGGTACGCGATTAATGATTCGGCTGTGGATTGGTCGGTCGCGGAGCAGCAGATCGCGGGCGCGGGCGGGAAGCAGGGAAAGTCGACGGTCGTTAGCGTCAAGAGCACGACGTTGGGAGGGGCTGGAGGGGTGAAGAGGAAGGCGGGGGAGGAAGAGGCGGGTGCCAAGGAGGGCAAGAAGAAAACCCGGCGTGCTATGAAGAAAGGGGGTAAGTAGTGAGATACTTGCCCTCGATCTGCCGTGTATATCCTCGTATGAGGCGCTTGGGATGATCTATCACTCTTTCATCGCCTCGTTAGAGTACTTGCTACAAACAGATAACGGTTTACCTTGAGCTGATGATTAAAATGGCCTTGTCCTCGCTGTCCATGGTGTCTCCAGTGACATGAAATGGAACTGCCAGTGTCGACAGCGTGATCCATGTCGGATCATGGCAAGATCACAGCGCTCTCCTCGGGCTTACCGGATCTTCTCGTGGTATCACCATATTTGATTTCAACTCTGAAAGTTAATGAGCGGCGCTTTGAAACGCTCGGCCAGGGATACGCGATTTCTTGTCTGGAAGTACTAGTGAGAGAATCCCAGATGCCAAGGGGAGAAGACTTACCCCAGATATGGGGAATTTCAATGCGGGGTATATCGTATGCATCTAGAGTGTAGGATACAAAGTCGCAGGTCAATTCCTTGAAGTCGCAGCACGAAACATACTTGCCGATATACCGCATCCCCGACTCCCACGGTAGTTGGGAGGAGGGTTCTGTCGGGAAGAAATGGTCGCTCCACCATACAACTCGCTCTCGCCGTGAGAACCTCATGTAAGCAACGTCCCGACCGGACCGACGCCACTTTCGTTTCGACTTGAAGACAACTGCCCACACACACCTGACGTGAAAGGTCAAAGTGATGCAGTGCATAGCATTTGATAAAAGGATGCATTGACACAAGTGAGGCTGACAAATGAGACTAGTATCTCTGAGCGGGGACTGGGAGGAAGCCCCTTTAAATACTGATGTAGATATAAGACAGGACTATATCAATACTGTGTATGTGTCCGTACGCATCAAGACTGGCATTCCGCAACTTGCAATTGACCAGACACTAGTACTGGAATACTTGATGGTTTCTGACTGGAGTCGGGGATTGGCGCTTGCGCCGCTACGATAACATAAAGATGGGCCGTGGATAAGCCAAGGGAGCACGGACGGC